GCGCACTCTGACAGCGCCGAGGTGCGCCGCGCAGGAGCCGGGAACAAAGGAGCCCAGGAGGAAGGGGAGCGGGGCTGGGGAGGCAGCGTTCCGGCCGGAGGAAGCCCGGGTGGCCGTGGAATTCCCTCCCGGGAGCAGGCGCCGGGCACCCGAGCGCGGCTTTCGTCCTAACGGCTGGAGCCCCGCCTGCAAGTTACCGCAGAGTCCGCGGAGCGGGAGGACCCCGCCGGCCCCCTCCTCCCGGCGCCTCCGGCCCCCGGCCTTCCCTCCCGCGGGCACTGGAAAGCCACCATGAAGGGCAAGAAAGGTAAGCCGGCCCCGCGCGGCGGGCGAGCGGTTCGGGCGCGACTGCCTCCCGGGACGTGCCGTCGGCGGGCCCGGCCCGTGGGGACCGAACAGTGAGTTTGGGGACTTTTCCGGCCGCTCCTTTGTCGGGCCCGGCCTGGAGTGGCCGTGGCCGTTGTCCTTGCCGAGCTCCGGCGGGGGGCGAGCGGTGGTCGGGAGAGCGGGCGCTCCACGCTGCGGCCCGCAGTCCACGGACTCGCTCCCGTCCTCTTGGTGCCGCTGCAACTTTCCTGGTTTGAGCCGACGCCCCCCCCCCGCCGGCTCGCCTCCTCGCGCGGGCTGGGGGGGCCGGCCCGGGACCCGGGACCCCGCGCTGCCTCCTGGCCGGGCCCGGAGCCCCGAGCGTTGGGAGCCGCCGAGTCTTTGTCTCGGAGCTGGGCGCCCGGGCTCCCACGCCCAGCTGGACGCCCTCTTCGCTGTAGGAATGTGAGGCTGTGCTTTGGAAGGGAAGGGATGCCATCGTGGACCCCAAACTGCGCTCAGGTGTGACTAGTTTGGGAGCCCTAGAGTTTACAAGTTTTCTCCCTGGGGCAAGATGAAGAGTCGGAACTTAGGGCGAGTCTCGACGCGGCATGCTATGAAAACGTGCTCAAGAGTCACCAACAGGCGAGGTTTCCAGGGCCGCACCGACTGTCATTGTTTCCACGCAGCGTTCTGGAAGCTTTGCGACCCAAACTTCGCTTCCGTCTGTTGAAAAGCCAGAATCACAGCCACAGACCCTGCCCACCCGCGGGAGCTCCAGAGACACCCCCCCCGGGCGGGGCGGGGCCGGGCACCCCGTCGCGGGCCGGGGCCGGCTCTCGGGCTGTGACTCGAGTGGAGGGTTCGAAAGCGAAGTTGGTGGCCGGCGGCAGCCCACGGGCCAGGGTCGGGGCGCCACCGCGCATGCCCGCCCGCCCGCTCGCTCGCCTTTTTTAAACCTCCCCGTCCCCACATTCTTTCAGTCTCGCTTCGTGACGCGCGCTGGACGTTACGGCCAGTACGCGTTCAAAGGGAAAACGTGGTAAATGGAACGGCCTGCCGCCCGAGAGCGGGTCTGCGGCTACGTTTATACCTGGGGGGCTGGGGGGGGGTTGCCCATTTGAGTCTGTGAAAGACTTGTGAAAACAGGTGGCAGTTGGCCTTGCCCGGCGTGTAAGCTCAGACGTCAGAACGGGGCTCCCTCCGCCCCTCCCCCTCCCCCCAAGACCCAGGACGCGGGGAGCTCGCTTGGCTCTCGGGGAGGCAGCTCCCGCGGAGCGTGTCCGGCCTCAGCTCCTGGGAGCGCGGACTTGGCTTTGGGAGGAGGGGCTCTCGACTCGTCGGGGGCCCGGGAGACGCCTCTCCCCCCGGCACCGGGACGGGGCTGGGGTGCCCGCGGGGACCGGCCGGGGCCGAGTCACGGACACGAGGACGGGCTGACGTGGTGGAGGGGAAGCTTCGCGCGGGGGCCGGGTCGGCCCGGTTCCTTGCCCGGCCCAGGCTGGCCGGGGAACTCCAGAACAAAAGCCACTTGGCTTCCTCCCGCGGTGGGGCCCTCCCTCCCCTTCCCCTCCCCCTCGCCCCCTTCCCCTCCCTTTGTAAAATCCCTGGAGGGGGTGAAAGAGAGAGTTCCCATCGTGGGCTCCGCGAGAAATCCATCCCGCCCGGCTGGTGGAGTTGGACTATTGTCTGTTTTTCTTTTGAAAGTCGGTGAAAATCTTTGTACTTTGATTGGAAAACAAAGGCATCACAGACGCGCCGGCAGAGCCCAGAGTCGGGGCGGGAGGGGGACTTGTGCGTGACTGTCCATAGGAAAAGTGGAGATTCGGAACGTGCCTTCCGATCGCGAAGACAGAGCGCTCCTTGTGGACTGTCCTGTCCGGCTCCTGGGCCTGAAAAGGTTGAATTCTTGCTTTAGAAGTTCTCTGCCCAGCAAGCACACCTTGGGCTTAGTGACGGTTAGGCTTCTTACCCCCCTCCCCGCTCCCGCGGAGATTTTCCATCTAGTGCATGTGGTCTGATTAATTTTTCTTTCTAGTCACACTCTTAAACACTTCCTTAGGTTTACTCGTAATTAGTTCTAGATTCTTCTCTAGTTTTTCTTGTCTAGTCCAACTAAGAAAGGACAGAAGCCTGCTTCTGAAAGGTTGTGGGAGCCATGGCACACGTCTGAATAACATTCCCTTGTATGTGGATCGAGTGAAAAGCGAGTCCTCCCTCCTCCCCCCACCCCTCCACATTTTTAAACATGTAAGCAATAGACGAAGTTTGGAAACAAGTCGCAACTGGGAAACTTTTCAAAAGCTCTTACAATAGGAAATGACTAACGAGGAAAATTTTTTTGTTTTTCTAAGTTGAGCCACCCTCGGTAGAGGGGGAGTTTTAATGAAAACAGTCCTGACAGAAGCAAACGTGGTTCTGCTGAAGTGAAGGATCAGCCGGCGTAGCCAAGAACTGGTCTGAACTTCCTGTTACTACAGCTTTGTGCACATAGTGGAGGTACTTGTCAGGGGTTCAGTGGCCTGGCACTCATTTATTTAAATGAACTGAGGACAGAAGAAAGTCACGCTGGAGTTTGGTGTTGCTCAACTGAAACCTGGTTTTGTGTCCGCGTCACCAACCTATTCTGAGACATCAAGCTACTTGTCAACCAAGAGAGCAGATCAAAGGGCAGCATTCAGTTTTTGTGTGTTTTGTTTGTTTGTTTCCAACTCATTGTTATTACCAACATAAAGTTTGGGATTCACTGCCCCAGGAGCAAGCTTTTCACGCATTTTCTTGGTGAAGATAAAAGGGGGGAAAATAACAGCCTTGGGAAGAATGTCAGCGTTTCAGACCTCGGAGAGCTTAAGCAAATTGCTTTATTCAAATTTTCTTTAGTTATTCAATTACTTGGCACCTTTTAATAAGTTGGATTTCATTAATTATAAAAGCAAAACGAATTCATTTGCCATCTGAAGGTTTTTTACTAGTAATTCTTCCCTTACATTTTAGTGTGGTGTTTGAAAAGTTCCCATTTTCTCAACGGTGAAAGCAGTTTCAGTTTGAAATGTGTCTTTTAAAACTTATTGTTGAAGGATCACTTTTTGTTGTTGTTTTTTTAACAGTTAAGTCAATCCTTGGAAGGAAAACGTCAAAAAACGTAGTGGTTAAACTAGGGTTCCTGGTTTGCTTTATTATAGCTGTAGTTAAGCCTGGAGCTAAAGTGAATTTGCAAGATCATGCTCTTTTGTTAGAACTTGCTTTACTTTGTCTTGGGGAGAAGTTCGGCCTCCTTTGGGCACTTCCTCCGGCAACTTCTGCCCCCTGCAGTCCAGAACTAGAACTACACTTACCAAGTAAAGTCTGAGCCAATTAACCCCTGAGTTAATCTCATCAACTAGTCTTTTGATTAGGTAAATCTTTTCAATTTCATTGTTAAAAATGCTGTAGAAGGGACGATTTTAAAAGTTTCTTTTGAAAAATTCTGTACAAGGGTCAATTTTAGACTTTTCTTAGCAAAAAGCGAAGCTGAGAAAATACCTTTAAATTTGTTATTTTAATTATTTCCTTAATATGGAAATGTTCGAATGTGCAATAGTTTGTCATTCATTTATATAGTTGAAGTTCTAGGTTACCCTTAAAGAAGACAATGTATTTCTTTAGACATTCAGAATTGCTTTACCATAGTTTTGAAATGTGAAAGGTTTAACACCATTTGTTATTTAAATTTTCTTAAGTTCACAATGAGCCTTAGCTGCCTGTCTTTTAAGAGCCTAGGTGAATTTGATCTGTGATCGGTCATCTCTATAGTAGAAGCCCAGGTGGAACTGTAGATTAGGCCATCAGGCTGTTGTTACCCCAAAGGTTTCAGGAGATCCCACTTTGGAACTCTTTTTTGTTTTTTTGTTTTGGAACTCTGCATGGGGTCACTGTGAGTTGGCATTGACGTGATGGATGTGGTTTGGTAGTTTATCAAACTCACAATTTGCTGCCATCAAGTTGTCTCAGAGTCACCGCAACCCTTTCAGTGTACAGTAGGATGAAAGGACTTAAAGCCCCAAGAGTGTCCCCTTCGAGGATTTTACACCACTTTGTCCTGTAGCAATTTTAAGACTGAATCCTGCTTATTGTTAGGTTCAGATTAAGTTGACAGCTAAACTTTAATTCAAGGTTTTTGTTTTACACACTATCTTTTTAAATCATTTTATTGGGGTGCTTACAGCTTTTATAACATTCATACATCAATTGTTTCAAGCATATTTGTACATATGTTGCCATCACTTAATAAACCAGTGGTTCTCAACCTTCCTAATGCCGTGACCCATTAATACAGTTCATGTTGTGACCCCCAACCTTAAAATTATTTTCATTGCTACTTCATAACTAATTTTGCTACTGTTATGAATCATAATGTAAATCTAATTGTTTTCTGATGGTCTTTGGCGAACCCCTGTGAAAGGGTCATTTGACACCCCCTCACCCCCAATGGGTCCACCACCCACAGGTTGAGAACAGCTGTTTTAAACATTTACTTTGAGTCCTCCTCTTTTTTCCCTCCCTCCCACCCTCAATACCCCTTGATAACTTTTAAATTATTACTGTTTTCATGTCTCCCTTCACCCATGTTTGTTGTTCATCTTGGTGGAGGGGGGGGTGATTATGCGTTGACCATTGTGATCGCTTCCATATTTCTAATTTTGACCAATTGTAATGATTGTAGTGATTCGGATTGTAATGATTAGGAAAGGACCCTGAAATTAGCACAAAACCAAATTTTAACATGCATTTTATCATGAGTACTGAGCCAAGTTTATAATTCTTGTGTGTGTTGGGGGTGGGGAGAATGTAAAATAGTTTCCTTCTATTTCAGAACTGTAGTGGAAGGAGGAGGAAGAAGAATCACATCTGAAATGTACATTAGGGTACTCATGGCTTTTCCTAGTTGACAATGGCCTTACCGTGTTCCTTTTTCACATGGGGCAGGTTCTGTTCACTTCGGGTGCAGTTTATTCTGTTGGATTGGATGAGAGACTTTTCTGGGATTCCTAAGGAATGCAGGAGGTTCTGTTAAATCCTACAGGGAGTCGAGTAAGACCAGGCTTCTGACAGGTGGTTCTGGTCTGTGCTGTTAGTCAAACTTCACCCGTACTTCAGGAAGGAAACCCATGCGTGCTCTGCCTAGCTTTTAATAGTTACAGAAAGAGTGTACTGAGTGGTCAAAAGAGTGCTTGCAGGAGGTGCTGTGCTGACAAAGCCCTTGACAGTTGGCCTTTGTCCTTTCCTAGGTGTTGTGGTGGTTTCCGGCAGTGAGACCGAGGATGATGACAGCATGGACATTCCCCTGGACCTCTCCTCTTCCGCCGGCTCAGGCAAGAGGAGGAGAAGAGGCAACTTGCCCAAGGAATCTGTCCAGATTCTCCGGGATTGGCTGTACGAACACAGATACAATGCTTATCCCTCAGAGCAAGAAAAAGCATTACTGTCCCAACAAACACACCTATCGACACTACAGGTAAGGAGAACATATGAAGTATGCTGGGCACCAGTCCAGTTTGTGGTTTTTTTTCAAAGACATTTATAGCACTTTCTGTGTGTCAACCCCCCTAAGCTCCTCTCCCAATCATCATCTGACAAAAGGCAGCTATAGTTTATTGTAAACAGGATCATGCTAAATGCTAATAACAATACAACTACTTAAAGAAACACTTGACAGTCACCTGTCAAATAGCATTTCCTTTAGCAGCTAAAAGCCTACCTTTATGCAACAAACATAAAAAAGATTAAACCTTAGCCTTACCCAGGAAACTGGTTTGATATTTAAACAAGGCCAGACTTCAGTGAGGTAATCATGTTCTGTCTGTTGACACAGTCATGTGAACTGGGGAAAATTCAGTAACCGTAGGAGTTGGCCCTTTCATACAGGAAAGGTTTTCCTGTAGTTGATTAACCTGAATGCTGGGGGTAGTAGACGATAGGTTAATTTCGAGGAAGTTAAAAGGTAAACCTCTCCCTAAAATAATTTTCTGACATTGGAGAATTAATGTTTTTTTCCCCCTCCTATAAAGATGATGAGACAAAAGGGGGGATTTGTATTAGAAGAGAGGGAGGTTTATGACAGGAAACAGCTCTCTCTTTCTTGGCTGGGATCAAATGCCTTAAAATAGCTTTGTGAGCTCAGATAGGCCTTTTCATTCTTTCTTTAATACAAAGAGAGAGGTCAGTGAGGTACCCCTTAGAAGGTTCTCAGAAAGTGCTTGCCGAGTGAATGAGCACAGTGTTAAAGCGTACTGATATGATTTCAGGTCTGTAACTGGTTCATCAACGCCCGGCGCAGGCTCCTCCCTGACATGCTGAGAAAGGATGGCAAAGACCCCAATCAGTTCACAATTTCTCGCCGTGGGGCCAAGATTTCTGAAGCTAACTCGGTGGAGTCCGTAATGGGCATCAAAAACTACATGCCAGCTTTGGAGGAGAGTGTGTTTCATTCCTGTACAGCTGGACCAAGCCCCACCGTCGGGAGGCCACTTTCTCCTAAACCACCATCCCCGGGATCAATTTTGGCGCGGCCATCAGTGATCTGCCATACCACGGTGACTGCATCGAAAGATATGTCTTTTTCGCTCTGCCAGTCAGTAGGTGTGGGACAAAACACAGATCTACAGCAGATGGCAGCCAGCACCTTTACAGACACCTCTCTCATGTACCCAGAGGACAGCTGCCAATCAGGACAAAGGACGAATACACAAAGTGGTCTTTTCAACACTCCTCCCCCCACCCCACCCGACCTCAACCAGGATTTCAGTGGCTTTCAGCTCCTAGTGGACGTTGCACTCAAACGGGCTGCAGAGATGGAGCTTCAGGCAAAACTGATGGCTTAACCTTTTCCAAGCAAAACACTTTCCACAAGTGTCATGATTGCCGGGATGATGGCAAGAGACGAACTGCATTATTTTATATATATTTTTTATTAATATTTGCACATGGGATTGCTAAAATGAAGCCTCCTGTTACTCAGATGTCTTCAATGGGATACAGTCATTCCAAGAACTATAAACTCAAAACTACTGTGGAAACAAAGGGTTTTCTTTTTTCATTGTTTCTTGGTAGATTATTCATAATGTGAGATGGTTCCCAAGATTATGTGATTTCCGCCCCCCCTTCTCTCCCTCTCCTTTGTATGTGTGTGTTGGTGTCTTTTCAGATTGTGCAATACTTAGAGAGCGTATCACATCTTCTCATTCCGATGTGGAACAGGATGCCCACATACTGTCTAATTAATAAATTTTCTATTTTTCCCCCCAAACAAGTATGAATCTAGCTGATTTGATGATGCCTCTTTTTTCATGACATAATAAACTATTTTCTTTAAAAATTATTGTAATGTAGAATATTTTCTTGAGGGGGGAGGTGCTTTGAACAACAAAGTAGGAATAGAGCACTTCACAGGAAGTTGGGGGTAGGGTGAGTGTGAGTTGGGGGTTGTCATCATCCCTTTGAAGAACTGTGGACAGTAAGCCAGTCTGTATAAACAGGATGTGTGATATTGACTCTTGACACGAGGTGTAGGAGGCCCTTAAATCTTAAAACTGCATGGCTAATTGAATCATTGTATCAGGTTTGTTTGTTTTTTTGTGAGCTGCATATTTTAAACTATAGCCAGTACAAGAGGTCTTGAAGCAGCTGATTATGGCTGAAGTTTTCTGAAGTAAAGACCAACCCCAAATATCTTGTAGCATTGCTTCTTCGTTGCTTTATAAAATGGCCTTTGCTCAATGGTACACTTAGGTAATGCCTGTGCACTCAACTGTTGCTTAAATCATACACGAATCACTTTGGAGAACACCTTAAAGTATTTTCTGAAGTTATGAAATAATCAGTGGAGTGCTGTCTGTGGTGGGGCTGTGAATTAGGTAAACGTTTTCCAAGGTTACAATTTGCAGAAAGAAAAGAAACAGCCCTGTACACCAGTGGAGTTGTTGGGACAAAAAGTGTTTCTAAAACCAGGATGTGTAGGTGGGCATTGGTGTTCCTGCCCCTCGTGGGGTTGAGCAGCGTGCTCCATGTCCCAAGACCAGTCTTTGTCCTCGTGCTTGGTGTGAGCTTTCTCTGTTGGTCTTCCACCCCTGCCCCAGCTATGATTGGTGTCTTTGTGGAAACTGAGCTTCAGTGTTGTTTATAGAATGTAGAAAAGTTTCTGGAACCCTATATAGAAAGTTCCTACTATAGAAAAGGTTTGCCTTCATTGTTTTTAAGTGAAAGTAAAAAAACTGACAACCAAGGGATATAAGACAAAATACCTGAGAGGAACGTGTGATACTCTGGTTTCTGAGAGCTGCAGCTATGAATGGGCCCCACTTAAAAAAAGGCTCAGAAATAAATACAAACCCCAAAGGAAAAAATGACAATAAAAATAAGAGAGAGGTGCTAAGGATTCTTGCTTGATCCAATATATATATATAGAGAGAGAGAGAGAGAGAGAGAGAGAGAAAGAGAGAGATCCAATCTATATATATAATTCCAATATGTAGATTGCCATTAGTGCAGATGAGTGAGGCCAGCAAATCCTAAAAACCTTTACTTGTTGAGACCTTTAATTTCACTAAAGGGAAGAAAAGGTGCTGTGAGGAATTTAAAGAAAGGGAAAAGAGCAACAAGTTCAAATGAAAAAAAAAGTTTAAAACGAACATTCACCCTAACTTGTCTGCATGTGTAGGAATTATTGTATTCTCTGAAGTTGTTTGCAGGAGAAGCAGGGAGGCCATCAGCTCTGACAATGGTCCCCAACCTCAGTTCAGAGCCCTGTATGAAGGAGCCTTGGTGGCACAGGGGGTTAGGCATTGGGTTGCTAACCTAAAGGTCAGGAGTTGGAATCCACCAGTCCCGAGGGAACATTTTTAATCTGCCCTACATGGTTTTGCTCTGAGAATCCATGGCAGTGTTTTCTGAGTCAGAATTTACTAAATAGCAGTTTTTCATTTGTTTTGAGTATTTGGTTTGTGAGGTGTATAAAAGTCCCAGTTGATAATAACTGGACCATAATATATGGAAACCCCTTTTAAAAATTACTTTAGAACAAGCAAAAACTTCCCATCAAAGCCAAATAGAAATTATTTTTATTAGTGTTATTGGCATATGTTTTCATGTTTACCATTAACCTTTTTGTTTAAAGTTTATATCTTAGATTGCAGATAGTTGGTTTTGTTATGCACTATAACCATCTTTGCCTTTTAATTGGTTTAGTCGCTTTATATTTAAATTGACAGCTTTGATTAGGTACCCGTCCGCCCTGCTCTTCTTTCCTTCTTTTTTGAATTAATCAATTTTTGTTGGTTTTTAAATATTTTTATATTGACTATCTCTCAAATGGTTGCTCTAGGGGCTGCCATATATTTCCTCAACATGACAATCTTCTTAGGGGTTATATTACACAACTTCCTATTACACAGAACTAAGAATATAATCTGTCTCTTTTTTTGTCTCTTTCATTTTTTTATACATAGACAGTTGCATGTATGATAACCATAAATGTTAGGATTTTTGCTTTAAATAGGTTCGTGGCTTACTTTTTTTTTTTTTTTAA